TTTTCTATTGGTTATCTGATTTTCTAATGACTTTGTTGAGTATAAATCATTTGAAGTCATGTTGACAACTTTAAATGGTTTTTTTTCTTGCAGATAGTATGACTGTTATCCAGTCATTCGGTAAATGTACATCTGGGTGGAATTTCTTTTCTTTTTCAATTAATCCGAAATCTTGATCACAGGTTAAATATGAATGACCACTAAGTAAGAACTTGTGATCAATTTCCTCTACAGTAATTGATGGACTAGCAACAATGTAATTACATAAAGTAGCCACTTCTATGTTGCGATTTTGACCGCCACATTGATCTGAATACATTACAAGTTTGGTAGAAGTCACAACATTTTTTACATAACGTAAAATGCAAGAACCAATTTCTTGAGGACCTCTGGAACCTAATGACTCATTCCAAACATACATAGTTGCATTATCAGTTGCAAGATCATGGATAGTAAGACAATAAGTCCATAACTGTCTTTTGTAATAGCATATTCCAGTGGAAACAATTGGAGTTGCTAACGTCTGATGCGGACCTCTGGGGTGCCGCTTGGAGTGGTGAAGTGAGGTGACCAAGTTAACACAAATGATATACACACGATTTGGTTGCCGTGAAGTTGCGATTTATTTAAAAGTCGAAACGAATTTTCAATTGACAACGAATTAAATATATATGCGTTAAAGTTAATGCTGAAGTCACAGTGGAACACAATCTGTTATCCGTTCTTTGGCCGATTTTCGGTGCGACACGCGGGGACGTACGTAGGGCGTCGGTGTCGTGCGGTCGTCGAAAACATAGAGACTGTTGACAATCCGGTTCACCGAACGGCCGGCCGACGGTTCCTGGCGCGGGCGTCGTCCGTCGTCGATTGGCGGTTTGATTGAGAAGCCACGTCGCGGCTTCCGCGCAAAGGCTGTTTGAATTCAAACAGATTTTGCGCGGGACCGCGTCACGTCTTCATTAAATCAAATGCAATGCATGTAATATTATTGTTTAGTTTGGCTTCTGTAGCTAATTTCATACCTTCTCTGGCTTTTTCAGCTTTACTGTGATGTAACTGTTTTTCATTTTCAATAATAGCTTTTTCACCATCATCAGTCAAAAATTTAAGTTTCATATTAAAAGAATCACACTTTTTGCAACTATCTGATATTGGGGCATGAAAATGTAAATTAAACTGTTTGTTAAACACATCTTGGAAAACATAAAAAGAAACTGGCTCTGAGACTTCATTTTTATAAAGATTATAAATGATTTTCAAATTTAAATTTGGGGATAAATATTTCCTATTTAAATTTTTTAGCCTTGAATAGTGTGACTCATAGCTAGGAAATGTATTTATAAAATCTTTAACTTTATTAATTTTTGTGTCATTTGTTCTGTTGTCAGAGTGTTTACCTTTTTTGTCTTGGGGTGGAGTACCTCCAACAGGTTTGGGGTATCAAAAGTCTTGTAATTCTACCATCTGATATAGAAAATAACTCTTTAAAAAACATTTTACAAACTTATACTTCAGTGCCATCACCTGCGGGTAAATAGAATTATCTAGAAAATGACCTTTTGTCACTATTGACAGTTCCTTTGTATGTTCTCTTTTTATTAATTACTTTAATAAGACCAAATAAAAATAAGTTTGTAAATCATAAGTACTCAAATCATAAAATTTTCTTATGAATTTATTTTTGTTTAGTATCTGGTATAAAGTTGTGGTATTTCTTAGAACACTTACAAATTTTTGGTTCAAACGTTTTTGCATTATTAATTTTTCCTGTAGCACCAATATAAGCTTCTCAATACAAATCTTCTTAGCTTTTCTAACATCCTTTTTCCAAAGATGTAGGTACATTTCTTGAACGCTTTTTTGAAACAGCCTGATGGTCTTCAGAAGAGTGTGTTGTCATATTATTATGATCTGAATCACTGGTATATGATTGATTACCAATGTTGGGTGGTATATAATCTGAACCAGAATCCTCAGAAAATTCCATTTCTGAGTCTGTTTACAGTAAGTCATTAAAATAAATTGATTTATATAGGTATATAAATGTCTACATTTTTTGTTACTTACCGGTTTGGAGAACATCACTAATTTCTTCTGTGTTCATATTAATATAATACAACACTTTTATATTTTGTTACTTAAAAGACTTAAGTACCTATTAGTAATTACTAATTAATAATAATTATTGCATAAAACAACATTATTGATAATAATATTATTATCAGCCAGCACTTTCAATTATTGCATAAAACAACATTATTGATAATAATATTATTATCAGCCAGCACTTTCAAAAAAATTTATTTTGATGAATTATAAACTGTACTTATACTTAATAGTTAATACTATATTGTGTGCAATAAACTGTTTTATTTACTATAGAACTCAGGTAATTCCTCTTTGGAGATGCCTGTTTTTAATATTTTTGCTAATGGTAATTTGAGTCATATGGATAATATACTTAACTCCCAGGACACCTTACCGACAAATTTTGACGCAGAATCTATACTCTTGTTATTCTTAAAATTAAATACTTAAGCACATTAATTAATTGAACTAAAATGTAGGTACAGAAATTATCAATCAGGATTTTACAACACTCGGAAACTTAATTAATACTCCTAGGACCTCTAACTTTATTAACACAAAAAGCACCTCATATATGAATACTCCTAGTGACACTTCTATTGATGTACCGGGCACCATTGATAATGTTGATACAAATGCTAAAAAGAAAATACAATTAACGCTAAAGTATGTTTATTAAGTACCTACGTAGTATATTCTATATGACTGTATGTAATTTATAACCATGATTTTATTAAAACTCCTAAAAGTATTGTGTTAAAAAATAATAATAATTTGTTCTACATACTAGAGCATATTAACACATTTTTTTGTTACAGGCATTAGATGCATCAATTAGTTTAGAAGCTATTTTGAATTGTTATCACGAAGGCAAAATCATTTTAGATAGTTATTTAAAAAAAAACAAATTAAATGGATTGTTGAGAAATAAATTGTCTCATATTATAATAACACATTTATTCAAACAAAACGAAGACAAAACAATATCTACTGAAAAGTTAAAGTCAATTTCTCTGGAAATTTGTTCTTTATTTCTTCAAGAACACAAAGAGACATATTATACTCCTTATAAAAAAGAGGCAAATTTAGTATCGCCTGCTAGAGGGAAGTTGTGGGACAAGTACAATAATCTAAGAAAAGAAATTGGGAAAATTAACCAAGGATCAAAGAAGGAGATAACACCTGAAAATTATTTTATACCCAGTGAAGGTATAGTAAATATTGTGCATATTTTTCATAAATATATCAATATATGTATTAATGTTATTTGTTTTGTTTGATTAAGAATTTGCTGAAGATATAATATGGATCAAAAATAATATATCCCCATGGAATTTTGTTGAACAAAAATGGCTTAAAACATTTCATGAGAGACACAATTACTTATTAAACAATGATGATACCAACAGTTGATATCTGGCAGAGTATCCTCCATTGAAAATCCCGCTTGGTTTCAAATTGGTTAGTATTCAATTTACATAAAACTAAAACTTCTTAATCTATATTTCTATGATTTATTTAAAGCATACATATTTGATTACAGATTGATCTGGATTTTAGTCAGCTATACCCTCAAAAAACACTGATACTTTTTACCAAGTTTGAAATTTAAAAAAATAAATTACCTATCTATATCAAAAAATATAATATCAAAGGAATTAATAGCAATTTGGTTGATGCGATTGTGAAGCCTCCAGACTCTGGTAAGATTTATCAAATTATTATTACGTGAAATGTAGCTCATAATAATATAATTACTATAAATACCTATCTAAAAATTATAGAAATGTTGTAAAATTAATTAAGTACCTACTCTAAATTAATTTTTAAAATATAAATGTTTATGTGTTATAGGTATTGACACAGTTGTTGCTTTAAAATTCCTTGTAGAATTATTCAAGCCAATCAATGTATCTAAAAGAACATGTACTGGATCAAAAAAAAAATTTACTAGACCATCTAAATTGGAAATACAACAATCTTTCATTTATTATATAAATTTATGAACTCATAAATTTAATTTTTTTTTTAAACTATACTAATTTACTGAAATAAATAATTATAGATTGGTTTTCCTAAAATTAGAATGTTTCACAGTTGAAGGAAGTAGATGATGAAAAATCAAACAAGGCGTTCATAACGGGAGAAAGACTCCAACCATACATGGTTTTTGTAGAAACTGACAGTAATGCTGAGGCCACACAGAACGCTACACGCGCTATGTTCGCGATGTTTGCTATATGAATAAAAAAAATATTTTTCTATCTTGAAGACGTAAATGGCCACACAGACTAGTGTACGCTACGTTTTGTTCTTAGCTACGTTGCGACGCGTCGCCGAGTGTTTGATTTGTGGCTATATTTTTGAGCGATGTGTCGCGACGTGCAGGTTTCGACAGGCATGAACATGCTAGTACCGATATCGGAAATTTAATATAGCGTGTCCTGTGATATACGAGCAACGAGCAGTCGATTATAATTATTCACGCAGACGCAGTTATAATTTATAATTCAAATTGAACCAGCGGTTTTTTGAAAAATACAAAATAAAAATAAATTATATTTTATTAATTTTCGTGAGTACTACGTCATTTTTAAGTGATGTTACTAGAACAGCTAATAGAGGAAGTACGCAGGTATCCTTGTCTCTGGAAGAAAAATCTGGACGAATATCGAAACCAGAACATACGTGACAATGCATGGGTCAACATTTCAAAAGAATTGAAAAAGCCAGGTAGATAATATGTACCTATTTACTATTTTATGATGTATTTATAAAAATGAAAGATTAAGTATTCAAATGTAAAATATTAATATAAATTATAAAATATACTTTAGTATTATAGTAGAATATAATTAATATAATATAGTAATTTAATCATAATAATAGTAATTGAATAGTTTTTAACTATTTTAAGCTGTACGATTCACAATTCTTTGCTGCCATTCAACGCGACCTTCATTGGAAATAAAATATTCTTTGAATAAATTTCGGACATTTAAAGCTTCTCTACTTGAATTCGATGAGGTACCAATTCGTATTGGCATAAACACGTTAGTTTCGTTGGTTTGTTCTTCAACAGTCGCTAGATTGGTTTGAGTAGTTAATTGACGTGTGTAATTGTGGAGAACAACAGTAGCTAAAATGACTTTATCTGCGAGTTCAATTCGACATTCTAATGGACTATGATATACTCTCCAAGTGTTTGCAAGGATACCAAAAGTATTTTCCACAGTATTTCTGCTTCTTGAGAGCCTGTAGTTGAAAATACGTTCATCCTCGCTAAGTCGCCGGGCACTTCTGGGATAAGGTCTCATGAGATATTTTTTAAGAGGAAATGCCTCGTCACCAACTATTACATAGGGTAAATTTCTTCCTGCTAAATCTTCATCTGGAGGTATACCCATATTTAAGCTTGTTAAACGTTTTCCAATAGTGCTGTTACTATACACACTTGCATCACTAACTCTTCCATATTGCCCAACATCAACACAAATTAATTTTTTATTTCCATCTACTAGTGCTAGCAAAACAACCGAGTGATATTTTTTATAGTTGAAAAATTCTGAACCTTTATGAGCCGGTGCCTTAATACGGACATGCTTCCCATCGATTGCAGCAACACAATGAGGGAAGTTATTTTTCTTTAAACACTTTTTCTGAAGCTCTCCATATTTCTTCATTAGGATCAGGCATTACGATAGGCTGAAGGTTTTTCCATAGGGCTTCGCAGACTTCTTTGACTATGTTACTTATTGTAGACCTGCCCATGCGATAATTGAAAGCTAATGACCGAAATGAATTTCCAGTGGCTAGAAACCTAAGAATAAAATAAACAAAAAACTAAAATTTATATTTATATTTGGTTTAGTGGATGAACTGAAAGGTGAATGGAAGAAGCTACAGGATTCTCACAGACAAGCTACATTAAGAAGAAAGGCAAAAAGTGGACAGGCTGCTAAGAAAATGAAACCTTGGAAATACGAAGAAGTTATGTCTTTTCTTTTATCCGAGTTAACTCCACGTGAGTAAGTATAACTTCTAAATTGTCTTCAGTTCTTTGACCGTAGACACTTACTACAGTATTATTATTTTTTTACAGAACTTACACTAACGTCAATAATTATGATGGCAATGATACTGTCGCGGACTTGACAGATGAAGAAAATCAAATAATTGAAGAACATAGCCAAAATGAAGAAAACGTGGAATTAACATTGTCAAATAATATAGAAAGTGAAGCTCAAAAGAAGAAACATAATTTTGTTGCATTCAAAAAGAATGTAGGCAAAGAAAGTGATGTTGACAAGATAATATCATTCATTGGAAACAAAAATCAAGAGAAAAAACAGCCAGGAGAACTAGATTTTTTCTTTGCTAGTGCATGTGAGAGTACAAAACGACTTCTTCGACGTTTGCAACTGAAAATTAAGCAAGAAGTTATGCGGGCAATTATAAATGCAGAAACTGAGTTCTTGGACCAACCGTCTGCTACTCCGACATCCTCTTTCGTCAGTACTGAAACACCTGGTCGTGGCATAGTGGTTAGGTTAGACACACCTTCACCGGTCAGTCAAATAATACCTGCTCCTAGTCAGACATTCTTTCACCCATCAACTTCAAATCAAGTACAGGAAAGTGCATCGAATGTGATGTATGACTCGCAACAAAAGACTTACTATTTAATTTAATTGATTAAAGATTGGGCTCAAGTATTAGTGTAATTATTACCATAAACTTAATTACTAATTAATTATTATTATAAGGTCACCTATTAAAAATTAAAATTATTATTATTTTAAAAAGTGTTAAATTACTTACCTTAAACAAACAGCTAATCGTTCCTCGGCTGTAATACTTTCCCTGAGATTTAATTCCTTTTTTTCGATGTCCTTTTTAATAATTGATAAAAGTTGATCAAATTGTTTCATACTCATACGAAAATATTCTTTAAATTTTAATTCATCTTTTCGTATTTGTTTTAAAAGATGATGAAATTCACCAAACTTTTTACGTTCCATGTTTACTTCATGGACCCATTTCCTTTTTTGTTAATTATTATTATTTAACGAAAATAATAACAAAGCTTCATCATCACTACTATCACTTTCCCAAGGCAACGTACCTGACAACATCTTGAACATGACTGATAACTGTTCAGTGTGACTCGTACGATATCGTACGTAGTATACGTAGCTTGCTCTGTGTTGCCGCACCGTATAGTGAACATAGCGTACAAAGGAAACATAGTATAAATAGCATACATAGCGTAGCCTTCTGTGTGGCCTCAGCATAAGGTGACTAATTTTTATATTATAATCAGCAAGTTTTACTTTAAAGTTGAGAGTGCCTTAAAAGCATTAGATATTCAAATCTTTCTTTGTTTTTAATTTACATTATACACCACGGTATTGGGACAAAATATCCAAGGTTAAAATATCCAACGGATAAAATATCCAGGGATAAAATAATCAATATATGTTACAAAATATCCAAATAAAAAAAAAAAATTTTCCCCCTTTTTTTCTTTAGATACATTGTTCATTTTTAAATCACATTTAACATTGATAATACTTTGTAATATAGTGATAATATAATAATAGTAAAAATAATATTTTACGTTGTATAATATAATATCTATATTATAATAACGAGGCTTTAGTTATCGGTGTAAGGTGTTACATTGCAATTACGTATATCATATCTGTAATCTATATCGTAGTGGACATAATAAATTAGACCAAGACGACAATTTTATCTACAATTATCTGCTGTCATCGGTGTAAGAAGCGAAGTATTGATAGTTATTATTACAACTTTGCTCGATGGTAACCGGACAAATAATCAATGTGAAGGATGGAATCATAGGTTTTCGAATTTAGTAAGTACTTAGGTATACAATATGTATTGTATGTTGTATGTTATGTATGTATGATTATTGTCATTATATTAATCTAACCCAGTGGTGGCCAAACTACGGGCCGCGGGCCAATTTCCGGCCCGCCATCATTTAATATCTGGCCCGCGAAAGTAATCTACATTATTTCTAGGTAACACATAATCATCCAAGTATTTGGACTCTAATAATAAAATGGAGATAGCCACCGACGAAACGAAAATTGCACAAAGAGAGTTGGGGACATTGAATCCACCTCGATAAAAACCAAAATTCAGGTTTTGCTATAAAATATATATGTTGTCCATGGGCGCCCGGAGGGGGGGGGGGCAAGACGGGGCATTTGCCCCCCCTGGAATTCAAATATAATGTTGAACATTTTAACTTTTATTTTGATTTATTAACATTTCATCGATATTTTTACTTTAGTGTGTGCCGCGGCCGTGTGGGGTTGTTGATCATAATAAGTAATAACAATATATTATAAGGCGTATAAAATTATGCGTATTACCATTGATTATAAATACTAGAATGGTATTACATTAATCGCGCAAAATGAAATACGTTTAAATTCTGTTAATTGATATTAATCGGCTAGTGTGTAAACCACTTATGACGACCGACGCACCACGCACACATACGCACACGACGTCTGTCAGATAACTGAGATAACTAAAAATAAATCGAATGTACAATATCACATTGGGAATTATTGTAATAATTGTAAAATTAAATTATTTGTCAACGCGCCGTCTACTGAGTAACACGGACCACGCTAAATTACGTACGTATTGTATTTAGTATATTTAATATTTTGTTTTATTGTTAATATTGTTATGGACATCAGAAATTTTTTTAAAAAAACTCAAGCTTTGTGATTCTCTTAATGAAGCCTCTACTAGTCTACTGGCACTACTTCAATTGAAATAAATAATAGTACAGTCAATATGGAGTCGTCGGAATTGTGTGTAGTTGAAAGTGCTTCGGTTACCATGAATACAAAAAATAACCGTGGTCATATAATCTTAACCTATGAAAAAGATATTGGAAATTATTTGAACGTCGAAAATATTGACGATTGTTTAAAACATGAACTTTTACGTAACCCTTGGGTACCAAATACTACTTATGACTTTAAAAGTGATTTAAAATCATTAATAACTCGAGCATTTAGACATCAATGGTTGCATGAAAACGGTTCGTGGTTGACATATTCAGCTCTTGAGGGTGTGAAAGGAGCTTTTTGTAGAATATGTGTGTTGTTCAAGCCATCAATTCATAGAGGCGTACAAGGTGGATTTATAATAAAACCGTTTACGAAGTATAAGGATTTTCATGCATCTTCTAAAATACATTTGTCTTCAAATTGGCACACTGAATCAATGTCAAGAGCAAAAGATTTTATGGATATTATGAATGGTAAAACAATTAGTGTTATTGAACAAGTAAATTCTGGATTGCATAAAGAAATAGAAACTAATAGGCTAAAATTAAAACCTATTATATCAACGATTTTATTTTGTGGAACTCATGACCTTCCCTTACGAGGGAAAAAATCAGATTCTGGTGTTTTTCACGATCTTTTGAATTTTCGTATTGAATCTGGCTATGAGATATTGAAAGATCATTTTTTAACTAATGTGGGAAATGCTAAATATTCGTCCCATAGAACTCAAAATGAATTAATTACATTGTGTGGAAAAATATTAAAAGAAGAAATAGTATGTGAAGCTAATGCCGCGAATGCGTTTTCCATTATTGCTGACGAATCAGCAGATATTTCTGGTGTTGAGCAGCTAACAATTGTAATTAGATTTTAGACAGTCAAAGATTCGAGAAGAATTCCTTGGCTTTTTACCTTTAGAGAATCAGTTGCTACTAAAATTTTATCATTTATGGAAGATCACTATCTTAGTGGCCTTAATTTAAGTAAATTTTGTGGAAAAGGTTATGACGGCTGTGCTACAATGGCTGGCAAAGTAAGCGGCGTTGCTAAATTAATTCGTGACGGATATAATAAAGCTTTATATTTCCATTGTGCTAGTCACCGATTAAATTTAGTATTTACCTAACGATCTAAACAAAATTATGGTTATTCGTAATACTATTGGCACAATAAAAGAAATTATAAAATTTTATCGTGAAAGTACCCTTCGAAGAAATCTTATACCTAATATACCACTTTTTTGCGAAACACGCTGGTCTTCAAAGTATAAGAGCATTAGGCGATTTTCTGAAAATTTTATTGTTATAATTCAAAGCCTTCAATCTTTGTCTATTAATGGTCTTATAAATTCGAATACAAGACAACGTGCACTATATCTATACTCTTCAACCTCAAATTTTTCATTTATAATTAGTATGAAAATAATCGCAAAATACAGCGCTATCTTAGAACCGGTTACAAATGTTTTACAAGGTGTATCAATGGAGCTTTATAAAGTTCGGGAACATGTAGAGGAATTGTTAAAAATGTTAGAAGACAATAGAACAAATGCAAATGAAATCTTTGATTTATTATTTACTGATGCCAAATCTATAGCAGATGATTTTGAAATCACTATTACATGTCCCAGAATAACTGGAAAACAATCACATAGAAACAATTATTCTTATGAATCATCCAAAGATTATTATCGAGTATCAATTTTTCTACCTTATCTAGATTCAATAATTCAGTGTATGAAAGAAAGATTTGAAAAAAGTAATAGTGTTGCTTTTTCACTACAACACCTTCATCCAGCATTATTTATAAAAATGAAAAAACAAGAGTGCACTGACAGCATAACTAATATTTATAATTTTTATAAAATTGAAAATCTGTTAGCTGAAAGTGAAAGTTGGTACCTATAGCTTATGGCAAAAGAAAGACTGCCAAAGTATGGACATAATAGATTTACTAGAACATAGAAAATATTTTTCCCTGGTATTACAATTGCATTAGACATTTTTCTGCCTTTGCCAGCTACAAGTTGTGCAGCCGAAAGGTCATTTAGCACTTTACGAAGAGTTAAAACTTGGCTTCGATCTACGACGGGTGAAGACCGATTAAATGGCCTATGTATGTTAAGTGTCCATCGTGAAAGAGTTAATATAAGAAAAGATAAATTAATTGAACAGTTAATAACAAGGTTTGCAAGAGAACAACCACGAAGACTTTTTTATTTAATAACGAATAAATAGCATGTAATTCTAACACATTTTTTAGGTTGTAAGGAATATATTTTTTAATGTTCTTTTTGGTGTTGGATTTCATATAATTCTAACCCATTTTGTAGTTTACAAGGAATAAACTTTTTTTAATGTATTTTTTTGTGTTTGGTTTCATTATGCCCCTCCCTGATAAATTTCCTGCGGGCGCCCATGATGTTGTCATTTGAAAAACCAAAGTTGGCATCGCTACAGGATAATCCTTAAATGTTTTGAAAAATCTAAGTACACAAAAATATTGTCTTTAAATACACTTAAAATTTCCAAAAATCAGAATTTGAATGTATGCATAATTTAAGCATAAAAATGGGGTGAGCATGCTTAAAAAAACACCCTGTATATAACGCAACATATTATTTTTATTATTATTTTATTACTGTATTATAAAGTATTATTGATATTAAACGATATTAAAACGTGATTAAAAAATTAACAATATAATGAATTTAAATAAAAAAAATTATATGAGTATTAATAATACATTTTTATGATTTTTTTTTATTTGGATATTTTGTCCCATATATTGATTATTTTATCCCTGGATATTTTATACCTTGGATATTTTAGTACAGGATATTTTTTCCTTGGATATTTTGTCCTAGATTCATATACCACAGTGTGATCAAATATGGTATTTTATGCAAACATTTATTTATGAAATTATTACTAAGTTTGACAAAAATTGCAGTCCAAATGTCAATACTTTAATTAATGATTTAAATAAGTGTTAACTATCCAATATTTAATAAACATTTTAATCAAGAACTTAAAATTGTTGAAAATATTTGTTGAACAGTTAAAGATAAAACTTTTATTTTATATTTTAAAGCATTTCACTATTTTAATTATTTGTTGTACCAAAATATATTATTATTTTAATTATATTTAAAAACAGCAATTATAAAACGCCTGTGTGTTTTATTTGTTTTGTTTCTGTAAATTCTTTTAAAATTCTAATTAGGCATATAAAACAATTTCATTCTTTTGAAAATATTATAGAGTACAAATGTATAGAACCATCATTCATAAGAAGTTATAACTCTTTTGATTCTTTTAGTAGACATTTGTTAAACCATACTGTAGTAAACCAAGAGTTTTCTAATAATTTACATATTGAACCAATGCAGATTGTTGGTAATTTGCATGAAAATACAAATGAAGAACCAGTTATAATTCCATGTAGTGAAATATCAATTCAGGAATTTAAGGATCTAGTTACTAAGGATGCAATAATTCTTGTATAAAAATGGTATAAAGAAATGGTTGTACCTAGGAACAAAGTGCAAATTCTTATAAATGACTTAGATGTATTTAATGATAAATGTATGCAAATTCTAAAAAAAACAATAGTGATAAAAATTCAATTTCGAAAGTATCAGTTATGTTTGAGGTTGTTAATAATCCCTTTATACATTTAAAAACTGAGTATAAACGATTGAAAGTTTTGGAAGAGTTAGGAGTATTTATAAAACCAATTGAAATTGCTATAGGTAGTAGAAACAAAAAAATCACAAAAAATGATAACATTGTATTTAATTTAGTTAATGTAAATATTCGTTTTATTCCATTAAGATGTATCTTTAAAGTGTTTTTTGAACAACCTAATGTATTAAAAACAGTTCTTAAGTATTTTCAACATTTAAATTCTATGACTGGGGGAATTGTTTGTAGATTTGTACAGAGTGAAGTTTGGAAAGGTAAATTTAAAAACAACCCAGATAAAATAATCATAGCTTTTTCTTTTTATATTTTGATGAATATAAGATTAACAATCCTCTTGGAGCTCATGCTGGTAAAAAAAATTAGGCGCAGTTTATATATCATTTGGGTCATGCTTCCCTCCCGAATTCCAGTCTTCATTAAATTACATATTTCTCGCATTACTTTTTATTGCTAATGACCGGAAGGAGTTTGGTAATAAAAATATATTTAAAAGACTAATTAATGAAATTAATTACTTACAAAGTAATGGTATAATTGTGAATTTAGAAAATCAAAACTACAGATTGTAATTTTCATTGGCATTAATCATTGGTGATAACTTGGGCTTACACTCAATGCTACGTTTTAGTGAAAGCTTTAATGCAAATTATCCATGTCGTTTTTGTTTGTATTCTAAAATTGAATGCAATTATTTAGTAACACAAGATGATAGTAAAATGAGAATAAAGAAAATTATTTACAGGGTATAGCTATAGATAACTTATCACTTACAGGCATCAACGAATTGTGTGTATGGAACCAAATTGATGGTTTTGATGCAGTTCACAATTACTCAGTTGACCTAATGCATGACATTTTGGAGGGGGTTTGTTCTAATGATTTATCTGGCATATTATATGAATTCATCATTAATTTAAAATACTTTACATTAGATACGTTGAACAATCGTTTACAGTATTTTAACTATGGTCCTTTAGAGGTCCAAAACAAACCTCAGTCAATATCAATGGATGTAATAAAAAATTAAAAAAATAAAAAAATTTCAGCAAGTGAAGTGTTATGTTTTAGCAGACATTTAGGTGTTATAATTGGGGACCCTTTTCCCCTTAATTCAGAATTTTGGCAATTATATGTATTACTTCGACAAATTATACAGGTTGTAACATTAAAATCAATTCACCCAGGACATGATTTATTATTAAAAACACTTATTACTGAACACCATGAGTTGTATTTGAAATTGTTTTATACCAACTTAAAACCAAAGTATCACCACTTATTACATTATCCACTAATAATGAGTAAAGTAGGGCCTTTATCTCATTTATGGTCAATCAGATATGAGTCTAAGCATAGAGTGTCAAAACTAACAGCTCATTCAATTACAAGTAGAAAGAATATTTGTTATACATTGAGTGTATAACACCAACTAAGACTTGCATATCGATTATTATCTAAATCTAATACACTATCTTTGTCTTCGGAAGCATCAAACGTAGGAAAAGTAATAGATATATCCAGAAATGAGACAGAAAAAATAGAAAATAATATATTTAATCGGACTTTAAATTTAAATTCTATGAGTTTTGTTTCTTGGGTGCAGGTAAAAGGTACTCGTTACACAACTAAGCAGAGAATGATGATTATAATTGATGTTAAAACTAAAAGATATGCCCATATTTGTCATACTAAAATACCTATATTTTCTTTAAGCTCCAATGTGACTACCATTTTTAATTGGTCAGCGCATAAATACAATATGGTTTAATGAATATCTACAAGCATATGAAATAAAAAATAGTGATGAACTATTATGTATTTCATTTGATAGTCTACTTATAGAACAAAGTCCATGTGTTTGTAGCACAATGCCTGATGGTTGTACATATGTATCTTGTAATTTTTAAAACGTTAGGTACCTCATATTATACTTAAAAAATGTTAATGTATTATATTTTGTTCCATTTTTTTTACACATATTAAAAATGTGTAAATAATATTGTATTACCTATGTTATGACGTCGTAAATTGTTTATTTATAATAAAATGTATTACCTAAAGATATTTTATTTATTTATTTATATCATGCTATATATACATATATATTAAATACACTATATAGGTATATTATTATAATTATATGTTAAAATCTCATTAATAAAAAAAAAAAAAATAGGTATATTATATATATAATTCCCTCCTAAAGCCTATATCCTAGTTGCTATACAACCATTTCATTATGGTTACTACAAATAATGAGATTTGTTACCATAACATTATAATATTGTTGGTGATACTATGTATTGCTATATAATTACAAAACAATTCAGGTTGGGATAACCGTGTTTATGGTTGACGGAACCATGTTGATTGGTAGAAATTCCAAAATAATTGTTCGGTCACATCAACTGAATTACGACAACCAAATAGGTTTGGTATTCTGAACTATGTTAAATGATAGTCCTTATACCTACCATTGAATTTGGTTAGCATAGCCATTTAAATGGTATCAACAACCATCCAGTTTTTTCCGTGATATTTCTTCCTGTAGTTAATTATTTCTTCCGTACATAAATGCTGTCTTGATGTCGAATTGTCGTAGTATTAATTTTTCCACAGCTGCTACTGCGAATATCGCCCTAATTGATTCGTATCTGACCACTGGCGAAAATGTTTCATGGAAATCTACACCGTATTTCTATGAACAACCCTTAATGACCAATCTGGTCTTAAATTTATCTATACTACCGTCAGTTTTATATTTGGTTTTGAACACCCATGTATTTCGTAATGCAACTTTATCCTGTGGCAAATCGACTAGAGTCCAAGTGTGATTTTCGTGCAATGAATTAATTTCGTCGATCATAGCATTTTTCAATTCATTTTTGTTTGACCCAGTAATTGCCTCATCATAATTCAATGGATTGACACAGTTAGCAATAAAAGTCTGAACTTTATACCTGCCCGGTTTCTTAAGTGTATTCCTGTCACGTAGAACCATAACATTTCTATCATCAACTATGTTTTTGTCCTTCTCACGCACGCCCGTTGAATTAATTTTAGTGTCTGTAAACTCTAATGTGTCTGCAATTACATTTTCATAATTATTACATTCGTCTTCGAATATCTGTACATGGATATTTTAGTTGTTTTCGAATACCATACACGATAACCTTTCGTGCTGTTCGAATAGCCAACAAATATTCCTTTTTCACTCTTTGGATCCCATTTCTGACGTTTTTGCTTTGGTATGTGTGTATATACCGCGGCACCAAAAACTCGTAAATGTTTAATATCTGGCACGACTTTATAATATAACTCGTAAGGTGGCTTACCATTCTTAAAGAAACTTAATTGTATGATATAATATTTTACAGGAAAAACAATTCAACACAATTTATTGTAAATACATTCATTTGCTAGAAAATAATAAAACACATGAATTTTCATGTATTTGTTAAATTTGATGTTATTTGGTTATTTAAATATTTTAGAAGAAATTATAAAAAATTATAAAACTATCTATTTGTGCATTATAAGACAAACTTATTTTGATCACGAATCAGAATTGACTAGTATTGTAATCGACAAATACTTTGTAATCTAAGCATTATAAAGTTCTACGATAGCTCGATAGGTAATTCGATTTGATTTACGACGTAATGCGACTATTATTAAATGTTATCAAGCCCAATATATTTGTCACGAACTGTTTCCAACTATTGAACTATCATTCGCCAGTCATTCAGTGATGGAAAGACACGTGAGTGACAAATGTGTTGTTTCGTTTAATCACTGAAAGAAATTGCATTGCATATTAAATATTTATTTTTTTGATTTTAAAGTTATAATTTATTATTATGGCGACTACGTCAAAAATAAATCTTCGCTATTCCAGTAAAATATTTTTAGTTGGAAGTGTTTTAAATCAAATTGTAGGTAGTAAGTTACCTTCAATAAAACAATCTTTAAGTGAACTGTTTTATAATATGCGTGTTGTTAATTGAAATGTACATGAGAGCAGCAAATTAGTAATCAAAGAGACGATGATATTTTGGGGAAAAGCGCGTATTCCTATTAGAGAAGAATATCATTTAATTAAAAAGTTGAAGTCATTATATAATGAGTGGAGAAATCTACTAAAACATGCTACTTCAAAATCGTATAATAATCGAAAGAAAGAAGAATTATTTGTAAGTAGGTTTGATGATATCTTTGACATTGCTCATACGGACGCGTTGAATATAATGAAAATAGACAGCGATAAACAATTTTTAATTGCTCAAAGAACTAATGCAAGACCGGGTTGTATGCTAGGAATAGATAAAAAAAATCAAGAACTTGAAGAACGTATGGGAAAAAAAATCGACGGATGCGATAAAAAGAAAAAAAGAGTTTATGAAGAAATGGAAACTTTAGGTAACTTATATTTTATTGACGATTCATGTTTATTGTTGATATATTAAACTTATGCATATTAATAAACAACTATTTTTGTTAATATTTTAGGACGAGTAGTTAATAGTGGGTTGCTTTTTCCATCTTCGAGTAGAGATTCAGAGGAAATTGACAAAATATCATTTGAAGAAATTATTGAAAACCCAACATTTGTACAAATAAGAGGTAAAAATAATTTTATTACTGATAAACTGTCGGCGGCACTCGGTAGGTGTAAGGTTAGTGATCGAGATGCAGTTCATATTTTACTTGCAACGGCGGAGTCATTCGGTGTTAATACCGATGCATTAATTATCAATCGTACTTCAGTTAAATGTACTCGGGAGCGTTTTCGTAAAGAAAGAATGGAGAAAATTCAAAATGATTTCAATCCATCTCAAAAAGGTCCTTGTATAGTTCATTGGGATGGTAAACTTCTTCCCTCATTATCCAGAAAGAAATTGGTTGACCGTTTACCAGTAATTATATCACATAAGTTATAGCTAATGTAGCACATTAGTTGCTATTGGTTAATCGGGCATGTTTGTTGATTTGTATTTTGTTTTTTGTCAATATATATAAAATAAATTAATGTTTGTGTGTAGATTGGACCTCTGAGAAGAAGACAGGGGAACAAATGCACTTTACCACGCCCCTCCGAACTCCGCTCCGCAAATCGAAAATATCCCCCGACTTGCTGTGCAACACCTCCCCAAGTGGGTCACAGGGTTAAGAAAATTGCATTTTTGTTGCAGTCATGTTGTATAGTATGGGCAGTGATCCCTTGTTAGCGGCACTCGTCGCTGCGCTCCTCGGCGACGTCGCTCCGCGCGGTAATATAATAGTGTTGCGCGCATGCGTATAAACGTAAAATCGCAAACTTTGGAAGGCTATAACTTCCAAAATAATGGTTTCCGCACAAAAATTCAAACAGTTTCGAAATCAGCGTTAAAAAACACGTCTTTTTTTAAAAAAATCGAAATTCGTGAGGGGCGTGGTAAAGTGCATTTTAACCACAATTTATACTCATTCCCATTTATACCTAATGGAATGAAATCAAGTTAAATTAACTCTTTATATTATCTAAGTTGTTTTTAACCAATTACTATTTAGTATTTTCATCATCTTATGAAATAAAATAGCATAAGAGGACGCTACACATTAAGTGAAACGTATACAACGACCGAGAGAACGCGCTGTTAGGTGTTTTCGCGATGCGCAAGCACGCGACGTTTAAGCCACGCCCACTACTCGTCGTCGGCGGCCGGCCGACGATTGTGCTCATTCGGGAGCGACGTTTATTTTATTATTTTCTCAACCTTCGTTTGTGGCGGGTCGCGTATATATAAAAAGCATACACGTTACACGTACATTATGCCGAATTGCCGCCGTAATATTTTTAATATTCGAGCGTACTTACGTGACCTGTATTTATTGCGTAATAGTATTATATTAGTTTTATATTGATTATATTTTAAATTTTTACGCTATAATTTTGTATTTTTGTAATAATATGTGTAGGTACCCTACGTAGCACATATCATTTTTATCTGACAGTTTTTGCGTAGTATTAAACATGATAAATATTAAAGCCATCTATTTTTTAATGTTTATGAGATCCTAGGTTTCTAACTAGTTATTATCTTACTTATAAGTTATAAGTAATATCTAATACTTTTGTAGGTACCTACAATTATTTACAAATTACAAAAATACATTTGGGAGCCATGTTTATTGGAAGGATTGCGTCGATATAAAATATGTCATACACGTAAATAATTCTTTTGCAATATTTTTAATATCTGCACGTATTCACTATACTGTTTGGTCATTATAATATTATAGACTAGTTAGACTTGTAGAGTGTAAGCATACTATAGGCCAAGGTATGTAAAAAAATCTAAAAATTAAATAAATATTAATATACATTGAATTATATTATAAGCTATACTATTATAATATAAGCCGCGCTAATTCTGTTTATTATCTTTTTTTCTTTTTCATTTAAAATGTGTCTGGGTTCTCTGATGTCTGTAAATTCTAGGCGTTTTCCATAAAGTGGACATGCAATTTCGGGTAACAGACAATCCAAATAAAACCTAAATATTGCATTTATTAATGATTTTTTTCTTTTTATGTTATTTATTATTATAGTAAGTAATGGCTATATTTAAGTTTTCAATTTTTCCTCCATTTTTGTTTTCCAAAATACCTCATCAAATTTGATTTTTGAACGTTTATCCAGTTTGGTATACAAATTACAAAATTACATACACTACGATCAGTTATTCGCAATTGCCCTATAACTTGGAAATAGTACTTATGGTCCTTTTTTAGTTGTACAACATTGTTTTCGACTGTGCAGTACTGTAACTAAAATATTAAAAACGAACAAGTCGTAATTGTAGGTGTATTACATTTTTATTAGTTATAATATGGAATTAAGTAAGAGTAATTATTCTTACTAGTTTATTTTCTACAGCTTCAAGGATTGTATTGGTTTCTCTTGCTACATATGGATATTTTATTTCTAAAATACTGTTTTCGACAATTAGGCCATCTAAAAAATAAGCATAATAATTGATAAAATTGTAACCAAAATAAATAATACCAAATATTACCAGGACTTGCAGCTAGAAAAGGAAATTAAATGTCAGCAAATAATCCACATGCTTCAACTGAAACACCATATAATTCTTCATACTTATTTCTGGCTTGACGTTCCATTTCAACACCACATGTCATTTCTTTAGTCGTTGTATAAAGTAGGGAGTAAACTTATTTTCGGCAACTTGTACTTGCTCGCATTTTACACACATCGCCAAATTTGGATGCAGTTAGCCTTTTCTTTCTTTCAGTGTACCACTCTTGACTATGGCTTTGCTCTAGCTCATATCGATCAACCTTACCCAACTTGTCCAAAAAAATTTTTTTTAATATTTAATTCTTCCTCTGTTGGAATGTTGTCCAACGGTTCTGCCAAGCCATAATGTATGTCTGGTGCATTAAATCTAACCGCAGTTGATTTATTTTGCTTTATACCTGTTTCACATAATTTCCTTCTCCGAATTTATGTATTGCTCCTTATTCTCTCGATATCTTTTGAATAACGTTTACCAAATGTACCTGTTGATTGTTGTAAAATTAGCTGTATACTATTTTGTTAATTTTTAATTATAATTTATTTTATTGATACTTGGACTATTCAAAACCATTTTTTTTTTAACAGATCTTAAATAGTTTTTCGAATTAAACGCCACTACAGCTGCCTCGAATCTAGTGGTGTAGTGTTTTTTTTGTGTGTAGTTTATACGTTTGCCCCCTATATGCTTGTTAATTAAGCTATTCAGTTGCTCACAGAGATTATTATCGAAATTTTCTATGAGACTGTCAGCATATTTTATAAATAATCAGTGAGCTATATATTTTCTTATATGAACCATCATTCCCGATTTTTCGGCATCAGAAACTATATTTATTTCTCAAAATTTTGGTCCCGAACAAAAATATTGGGCACAATTATTATGTTGTCCAAGTCTATGGTATACACGGTTTGATATATCTTTTTTAAGACCTACAATATTTCAATGTATTTAGTTATTATAGAATAAAGTGCTACTATGGTAGATATTATAGAAAATCTCAAATTGCTTTAATTCAATTAAAAAATACCTGCAATTTTTTGTTGAATTGTTAAGTCATTTTTCAAATGATGTTCCACTGATTTCGTTATGTTAGAACGAAAACGTAAAATGTTTGAGGTTATGCATTTTCTGACAACTATCGGGTAATTTGTTTGTTTTGCTAATGCCATTAATTTAGTACAATAATTTCTGAGTAAGTGATTTCGACATTCAATTTTTTTTATTTTGAAATCGCTACCGTAAGGCAAAACTTAATTTAACCGTTTTGTCACGCTATTGTCACCATCTCCTAAGTTAAATAAATAATTATCTAATACAAACAGAAATACTATACCATATAGTATAATAATAATAATAAAAATAATAATGTTTAATTTATTGTTATTTCAAAAATTACAATTTAAAAAACATAATATAATAGAATGTGAAAAAAATTGTCTCCAAAAGCCGTAACTTGTGGGGAGACAAGAGTTCAATGCTTCTTAATTTTATGAATTATCCTTAACAATACTATTTACAGATTTAAATACATTTAAGCATAAAAAACAAAAAAATAAAGATAAGATAAATAATAACATAGTGATATACAGTCAGTGGCGCCGACTTGTATTTCATTTGGTGGGGCAAAGTTTAAAATTACTTACCACCACCACCTACATGATTCAACTATCACAAAGCCGCTCGCTTCGCTCGCTATTTACCCTGTTACGTTCTGATCAATTATTAATACTTACATAGAACAACTAGTTAGTAGTTACTAATAGACACATTATACCTATCGATATATTAATTTTTGTACCCATACCAAAGTAACTGTACTTATCATTTTATCATACCTCAACCCTTGTCACTGTTGAATATTATAAAATCTCAAGCAACCATTTAAATGTCAACTTTACAGCCTACAGATATCGTTACACCTACATTTTTAATATTTTTAGCACTTTATTTTTGTTTCTTTTTCTCTATTTTTGTCAGTAACTGTTTCTCATCTAAAGTTCAGAGTAGGTATTCAGGAAGGCAACTTGTCATTAGTAGTATCTAAAAAGAAAACAACTAATAAAGAATAAGACAGAAATAATTATTATCACATTTATATTATTTTCAATGCTTTACTGCTTTATAATATTTTACTAGATGATATTATCTATTATCAAACTAAATGTAATTGTCATATTATATAAACATATATATTATTATAATTAAAGATGAAGGGCATTTTGTAGTTTAGAACTAAAAGAAGAAAATGTATCAATGACTTCATCATAATTAATGTCTACATCAAATTCACAAGACATTCTCATAAGTCCTTCCAGTCGATTATTTCCCATAGTTGAACGTAGTCGATTCTTAATTAATTTCATTTTTGAAAAAGATCGTTCAGTTGTTGTACTACTAACAGGCAATGTCACAGCAATTTTAAGAGCCATGTACAGGTTTGGGAAAACTGATTTTAGATTTGCATTACAAAACAGTGAAAACAATGATACCATACTTGCAGCATTATGTGGTTGTTCTAAATCTTCGTGTACCACATCACTGTCACTATCTGAATCGTCTGAATTATTATTGGTCGATTGATTACTTTTATGGATACGCTTGGGCAAATAATTAGATTTCAACAATTCTTCATAATAATTCACGAAATGACAATATTCATTGACCATTGCATTTTTATCGACAAACTTTTTATAAATATTCGCAAACGAATTAAATGCATCTTTTGGTAGATCACTTGCCTTATGTCTAATTTCAAGAATTCTACGATGAGTTAAAAGTGATAAATCTTTGAATAAATCTTGATTGAGTTCATTAAATCTACAATCTATTTGTCCATAAGTATTATCAATCACTTTATA